GGGGGAGGGAGGGGGGCGATCGGAAGGGCCTCGGGTGATGAAGGGGGCGAGACGCGCAGGGGAGGGAGGGGTAGGGAGAGGGGTAGAAGGGAAAGGGAGAGGGGGGGAGGAGGGGCGGAGTGAGGGTGAAGGGTGGAGACAAGGGCCGGGACGGGGGGGGGGGGTGAGGAGGAGGAGGAGGAGGGAGGGCGGGCGGTGTGAGAGACTGTGGGGAGGGGGGGGGGTAGGGAGGGGAGGGGAAGGGCAGGAGGGACCCGCGCTCAACTTTGGACCAGAAGTGGGAAGGGGAGGAGGGGAAGTGGGGAGGGGGGCGCAGGGGGCGGAGGAGGGGAGGATAAAGGGACGGGGAATGGGAGGAGGAGGAGGAGGAGGGGAGGATAAAGGAAGGGGGGAATGGGAGGAGAGAGGAGAGGAGGAGGGAGGAGCAGAGGGGAAGGAGGGAGGAGGGAGAGAGGGGGAAGGGGAGAAGGGGGAAGGAGGGGGAGGAGCAGGATGGTTCAGGAGCCCACAGCCAATGGACAGGGGAATTCTCCGCGATAATTCAACCTATATTACATTCCTTCTGTAATCCATCCCCGTTTTCTTTAGCATACCCCCTCCCCCCCCCCCCCCACCTTCCCGCTCAATCAACTCAAAATTCAAAATCGCACATCTTTTCTTCCCTTTCCCTCCACCCTTAAAAAAAAAAGATTAATATTTTCCCCCCCATAGTTTATTTTTCCCTTAGTAGTGGCTCCTATATTTTTTTCCTCCTTTTTTTTTTCTTTTTCTTTTTTGAAGGTTTTAAGTGAGCAAAATTTCAGAACGCGAAAAGAACCAGCGGGTTGGTCGTCCCCTTCCCGCTGCACTGACAGCTCCCCAGACCACGTTTTCGCCTCGCTATGGCAAGACAGCCCCTCTCCCCCTCCCTCTCTCCCCTTCTCTTCCTTCTCTCCCCTTCTTCCTTCTCTCCCTCTCCCTCCTCTCCCCTTCTTCCATCTCTCCCCTTCCTTTCTCTCCCCCTCTCCCTTCTTCTTCTTCCTTCTCTCCCCCTCCCTCTCTTCCCTTCTTCATTCTCTCCCCCTCTCCCTCTCTTCCCTCTTCCTTCTCTCCCCCTCTCCCTTTTCTTCCTTTCTTTCCCTCTCTCTCCCTTTCCTTCTCTTCCCCATTCCATCTTCCCTCTCTCCTCTCTCCCTTCTTCCATCTCTTCCTCTCTCCCCCTCTCCCTCTCTATCCCTCTTCCTCTTTCCCCTTCTCCCCTTCTTCCTTTTCTCCCTCTCTCCTTTCTTCCCTCTCTCCCCCTCTTCCTTTTCTCCTTTTCCTCCTCTCTCCCTCCCCCCCTTTTCTTCTCTCCCTCCTCCCACTATGGCAAGTCTCCCCCTCTCCCCCTTCCCCTCTCTCTTCCCCCCTCTCTCTTCCCCCCTCCCTCTCCCCCTTTCCTTCTCTTCTGTCACTTCTCTCTCCCTCTTCATTTCTCATCCCTTTTCCTCCCCCCGCTCCCTCCCCCCTCCTCTCTCCCATTCCTAGTAAGTCCCCATCCCCTCCTCTCAACTCCCCCTTAACCCCCCCCCCCCTCGTCAGCTATTCCCCTCCCCTTCTTCCTCCCTCCCCCCTCCCTATTAACCGCCCCCTTCCCTCCCCTCCCCTCCCTCTTCCATCTTCCCCTTCCTCTCTTGCAACTTCCCCCCCTCCTTTCCCTCCTTCCTTCCCTTCTCCTCCTTCCTCGTCCATCCCCCCCTTCCCCTACCAACCCTTCCTCCTT